CATTGAATTTGACGAAAAAGCTCGAAATACTGATTTGCCAGCTGAAACCTGCGCATGTTTTTGCTGCCCGACATAATATTAGTACAGTACCTACCTGCATGATTGTATAACATTTCGCAACCCGACATTTCATGACGTAACGTTTCATGGCGCTAAACAATGATAAAATCTGTTTCACTGTTGGCTTTTACTAATTCGAAATGAGAAAAAAATGGCTAAAATTATTTATGGAACGCTGTGGTCATGAAACGTTACGGTTATGAAAAGTTGCTGTCATGAAATGTTACATTTGTGAAACGTTGCGGTCATGAAACGTTACGGTCATGAAATGTGCGTTGTAAAACGTTACATTGTAAAATGTCGAGTTATGAAATGTCGTGTAACGACCTGCATTTGTATTCAACACACAGTATACAGATACATGTATTGGTAATGCAGATTTACTGGCGCCACATAGCAAACTTCGGTTTTTTCCGCACTGCCTACAAACACTTCCCTTCAAATTAATAAAGAAATAACTCAAATAAGATGTGGCAAACTTGTCTAGATGGTGACGAGGGCATACAGTACACGTTAAATTTTTCCGGGCTTGTGGTTGTAGGCTTATAGCATGTGTCTGTGTTCCCAGTATCTTGCGGTATCCACCTAGTGTCCCTTATGTATCCTTCTTGTATCCTTACAGTCCTGCAGCCCCATTTTGCTTCACTTCGGTGTATTGTACACTACGCTGCATTACACGTAAAAATTTAATACGTACCTTTATGTTTCCGACACGTACACTACTAACAAGGGAGATTCCCGGACACGACCGCGTCAGATCACCATATACTTGGTAACATTAGAATCCTTAGAAATTCAGCTATTTTTGGATGTTTTTTTAATGTTTTAAAATTTAATTATTTGAATTAGTGTAATTGTGCGCTCCCGTATTGACACATGGGCTGGCAGATGCCGAATAAAGGACAAAACCCATATAACGCGGGGCCGTATGGGCGCCACGCGTATCCTCGACAGCGAAACAGCGGTGAACCCGGATGAGGCTTTAATGCCGAATCTAATGCGCACCGTGGCGCAGCCAGCACCGGACTCACAAGGAAGGATCCTGCAGCCAGTGCAACTGCTGCAGATCCGTCAAAACAGCGCAGCAATGTGCGGGGTGGAAATCCCCAGAAACAGCGAATAGCTACTCAGGAGGGCGGAGCGTCCCTCCGTTACACCCAGTTATGGTCCCAGTATTTTAATTATGATTTTAACTAATGAAGTTCAACCGTATAATTTTATTGTCAATATTTTAATTTGGTTTCTATGATTTTATCGCAAATTAATGTTAGTTACATATTTTGAATTAACCGTGGAAATTACTTTTACTCGTAATTTAATGTGGGTAATAAATTAGGCGTATAATTTAGTTTTAGTTTAATTGGGGTAATATTTTACATAACCGTGGAATTTCATTTCAATTGTAAATTAATTTTAATGAAATTTAATTACGCGCCGGTGTGTGTGTTCAGACAAGTGCCCGTGCTGCCGCAGGACGAGACGTCCATCGCGAAGACGAGTCTGATCACGTGGCTGGCGCGGCCACCGGCAACCGCTCTCAACAACCACGAGCACACCGACATGCAGGACTACCTCGGCTCCTACCAGCCCAACGAGGACTGCAAACTGGTCTTCTGCGAAGGTCCGTATTTAACCGATAATTGCACGATACAGAAAAATGACTGTCCTGTAATTAGGAATTCTGGTGGACGCCGTGCGCAAAGGCTTCTGGATTAAGTTCTGTAAAACAGCTCCTACCAATGGCACAGCGGTCAATCTTAAAACGCAACGAGACCACAACTCAAAATTTTCCAGTTATGCAGTCGAAACTTTTAGCGTACAGCGAGGCTCGCACTCACATCACAAAATCAATTGATTTTTCACAAATTACATTTCGATACAGGCGCTGTTTACTTATATTTTTGCTAGTGTAGCTTTTCATTGCGGATCCAGTGATGTCAAAACTGGAACGATTAGTGCTAGTAGTGAACTCAAATTAAGTTATCTCTCATATACAGAGTAGACTTGTGTGTGAAAAGGTACTGTATTGTAACAGTAGCCGATCTGGCAGCTGTTCTAGTGGGTTGGCGTGTTGACCGTACCACGATGTTGTGTGGGATGTTGGGATGAAAGGTTGGCGCGGCCGGCAACGGCGCGGTCGTGGACGCTCTCACTGACGTAACACAATTACGGAACGTAACAACGGAAGTTCACGGCATGTTTAATGACAAGAACAATGCATGACAAGGAGCAAGATTTAGACAAGAGTTTAACAAGCTGATCAAGCTGTAACAAGCGAATGCATGACTGAATTCTGGAAATTGTGAAGAACAGCTAGCCGGTAAAATGGACAGATACTCATAACGCAATGATGAATCATAACTGGGTGGTCTTATGGTTGTACAACTTCTATCGCTACAGTATCATCCGAAGAATGTGTTTGCCTAGAGCGCGGATCACCTTGAGCCAGGCGTTAGTGATTCAAAGAAAGTTCGAAAAAGACAATAGAGCTTGTTCTAGACACACCACGGTGACGATGACGATCCGTTACCGTGACGGTAATCGCCATCGTGCGAGAGTTAGCTTGTTCGCTGAGCACACCGATAACGATAGACTCGAAGTCGGTTCGGACTCGGTCCGGTCTCGCTGTAAACAAAATTACTGAAGTGGATGTGCAGAGACGTGACAGCCGCTTATGGGGTCGCAGTTTGAGCACACACGCTACTTCCGATCTTTCAGCTACTCGCAAAAAATTCTTTAGAAACGTTTTCTTTGCAGTAACTGCTCTTCTGATTATTTTAAAAAATAGAGGAATGTTTTTTATACTAGTTTCTTGTGGCATAACGGTAGCTTGCCTCTTCTGTTAGGAGCTGGGAGCTACCGGGTAGTAACAACGATAGCATGGTGTTTTATCGTGTTCACAACGACCGTAACGATACGGTAGGAGCAAGAAAACGATAAATTTGTGGTGAGTCATCACCGTTATCGTCACCGTTGAGTGTCTAGAACAAGCTCTAATATGCGAAAACCAGAAAAGATGTTGGGGGGTTAAGTGTAGCAAGGGAAAATATTTTGTTAATACACTTGGTGAGATCGACCTGCACTTCTGGTGAGAAATGCGAGTTCTGTATCGCAAGTTCGTAACGGAGCCAGGAGAGTTTCTTTTAGATACAGAACACTTTGAACTCGAGCGTCCAGTCAGCGGTGAGAGGTGGGGTCAAAAACGTTACAGAACTTCCGGCACATGTATCTTACAGAAGTCACTTAAAGTGCGTGTCGAGTGGGCCTAGTGCAGTGCTAATGCGTCGTTAGCACGTCGTTAGATCCGCGTAGGCAGCACCACTGCACCACGGCGCAATAAGTACGTTGAAATCCTTTGAAATACTTTGTCGCTGTATATGAGCCGCTTCTCGCTTCACAAGTAGTATGATCGCAGCCTAATTAGATACCACGGGCGCAAACAAGTCCCGAAGGGTCCGTCCATCGGCATCGGCATGCGACCCATCGGGCCGCTCGTCCGACGATGACAAAGGAGACCGGAACACCGCCTGTCGGTCACCCGCCGGGCCAACGGCCGCCACCAGACACATGGTCCCACTGCAGTACTCATACGACGCCCGCTTGTGATCCCTCATGGCGTACGGCGTCCGAGTGACGTTGTGCTGCGTCAGCTCGGTAATCCAGTGGATTGCCGCGACCCGCTCCCGCAGTTTGTCCGCGAGACGGTATTCCTCCTCGTCATCCAGCTCGTACGGATCAATCTCCTCGGGCAACAGCACAATCGCCCCTTCTTCCTCCGCCATGAGATCAAACAACTCCTCACCGTCGAAATCGTAGAGAACTTGGAACTGCATGACGCGCTCCGTCAGCACGGCCCCTGGGAAATGCTCCCGCGGCCGATCGGGGTGGCGCCGCAGGCGCAGCTCGCCCTGGGTGCACAGCTTAAGGCGGACGGGCAGCGACAGCGCCTCGCACACTCGCTTGACCATGGCGTCGCGGCCTTGCAGATAACCCATCATTCTTCCAATACTTTTCGTCCGTTCACGGTCGTCGGGGCACGGCGGGTACGCCGGCGGATAGGGATACTGCAGTCCGAAACCCAGGAGACCGCCCTTCGGTAAGAAACTGGACTCTGCCAGTAGCTGTGTCAAGGTGTCGCGGACGAAGGTCTCGCTGTCGACCGCGGTCTGGCTGCCGACGACGTCCGGGAGGGTCGCGGGCGTTAGTGCGAGGTTGTAAGTGAGGGTGACACGGTGGCCGTTCTCCACCGGGAGCATCTGGTGATGGACACCGCTGCGGAAGGCCATGAAGGCGATGGAGGGCTGCTGCGCAGCGGCCAGCGCCCGGGCTGCGTCAAGCGCCACTGTCGGCCGCTGCAGCGCAGCACCGACGCGCCACCCGTGGAGAGTAGGGAAGAGGACGATCAGGAGCCGAACGTGCTGGCGCCGCGCGGTATAGTCGGGGAGGCTGGGAGAAGCCGCCTGTCCCTGCAATTGCACGTCTCAAAGGACAGTCGTCGGTCTTCATAGTTACTCAAGAAATCCAGAATTTAACCAGCGTAACAAATTAATTTTTTTCTCATAAAAATGTTGTGGAATTCTATTAATTTTTAACTGCATCCAAATATGCATTTTATTATTAATTCTTTCGTAAAATTATTCTACAAAAAATATTCAAATAACTCAGAAAATTAGATAAAAGCTAGGAAATAATACCGGAATTAATAAATACGAGAACTTTAATAATAATAAATACGAGAACTCGTAGTGAACTTTAACTATTAAATAATTAAAAATATTTAATAAGTAACAAAAGTAAAATAATTTATTAAATAAATTAAGATAACGGACGAATATGAATAATATCTGTAGTATACTTAAAATTTACAGAAAATCCGTTGAGGCAAATAGCCAGCTTACTGTAGACCCTCATGTGGGAGAGTTGCGCTGTGATGGTCTGGCCGCGCTGCTGTTCCGACAGCAGGTCCATGCTGATGCAGCGCAGCAGCCCCGCCTGCTCCACGTCCAGTTTGCTGGCGAAAGCGTCCACATGCAGCTGGCCCGCTGTGTGGCAGGACGCGTCCAGCACATCCTCAGCGGGATCACAGGCGCCGGCCAGCAGCTCCAGCTCATCGGGAGTGGCGCGCTGCAGGGAAATCCGTCTGCCCAGGGAAAAAGCAATGTACTGTTACCAGTTACACAGTCAGTACTCAGTACTGAACGTCCAATGGCGCCACTATTATTATTATTATTATTACATCAAGAGCAGACAACCCGCTAAACAGGACTTCAACGTCTGGTCGGCAAAAATCTAAACAAATGAGAATTGCTAAGACAGATCAACAGTTCGGAGAGCAAATTTGAAAAATCCCACACCATCAACACCGAGTATCTGCAGGTTAACTTATTGTATGCGTTCACAGACTGCACCTGGCAATACGGTCTGTCCCGTAATACAGCGTCAACGCCGCGGCCGGCACACGGCACACACCGCAGGACACGCGCGAGCCTGGCACGATGGAGGCGCGAAGGGAGGCGATGAGCTGATCGCAGAGCATGTTGCTGGCAGCAGTCTGGTTGGCCACGGACGCAGCGCTGCTGGCGTTTGCAGTACTTTTAGCCGTTGCCGTCGATTGCGCGTAGACAACAGCATCTCCGCAAAATCTCCTCTGCCCACTGGCTGAACGAAGGCACAATGGTTGGGCTGCTGTGTGGATTAGCCTGCCCAGATTCAGGAGATTGTGTGATTTCGTCAGGGGATTCAACTTGCCAAGCATTCTAACAAACCGAACAAAGTTAAGAGGAGAAAACTCGGAGAAGTTAGAAAATTCATCAAGACATCCACAACGTCTGACAACATATTGATTCATGTCGCGACATGTCCGACTCCAATACCACTACACAATTCCAATGGAACCGGAAACGGCTGCAGGTGCCAGGTGCCCATTTAATGGCATTCCCAGCCGTAAATCACTGTAAAGGCCATTGCTCAACGATAGACGATTTTATTCATTTTATTCGGCTTTTAACTTCTCACAGCTCATTTTACCGTTTCTGTGCCTGTGAGAAGAACTCAAGTTTATGGTGATTGTGTTCTTTGAGTCATTCGTAATGCCGGTAATGGGATAGTTTGTATCCTTCCTTTCAGAATCATTGAAGAATTTTACCGTGTAAAAGTTGTTGGAATCTTCTCCACCATCTGAGCGCACGTTTGCATGCGTTGAAGCGGCGTGCTGCGCAGCCATGGACGCCTTGAATTCCTCGACAGTCTTCTCACTCTTCTGAATTTTCTTTTGATTTTTGATCTTTCCATTTGTAAATCTGTACTACCATCCCCAGCCCGCGTATACCCGGTTTTTTCACAGTTCGGGAATTTTCTGTAGCAATCATCCGGTCTTGCAATGCGGCCGAAGCACTAATTTGGCCAATTTATCGGCGAAGCGTGACGCTGCATCATGTCGCAGCGCCGCCCGCCCCGCGATGGGAGACGCAAACCCCCGTAATCACCTCCATCAGTTTGCCCCCCCCCCCCTCACCTCCCTCTCCGCCTACGACGCCGGCCCGGGGCGGCGCGTCACCGGGCCCCCTCTGGAGACCATCTGGGAGGTGTCCCCCAACAGCGCTTGGGGTTGGGCTTCCTACAGAAAACCGCGCGCCAACTGTACCTCGATGAAGCCATCGTCATTTTGTCTGACTCCATCCCGTCCGCCACCATTATTTAGTCCTTTTTTTGGAGCCCATCGACACCGTCCAGGATTTGACGGCGGAGCATGTGCCGTTGTTGCGGCATATGATCCAACGGGCGCAGTGCTTCGCGAATGAGCAGATCAGACCGAAAACGCACTATCCGCTGGTGTTACTGTTGGGGTTCCATACGATTCCCGATTCCGACGTTTATTTGAGTGCATATGCGTACTATTACCGTGGATTTTCAGGGGGCAGGTTAGTCACCGTTAGTGCTCGGATCAGTGGAACATTATTTTTTTTAGACTTCGCTGGCCTAAGTAGTTACGTTATTTTTCTCTGGTTTCGTAAATGTGGTTTCTATAAATTTGATCTTTTATTTTTCTCTGACTTTTTTTAACTATTTTTTCAAGTTATTCTCTTATGACAATTTATTTAATTAATAATTTTTTCATTCGTACTTGTTCGCTGATTTATTTGATTTCTGTTTCAATTTTTTCTGCATTATGTTGAACTGTTTGCTGATTTTTCAAAATAATAATGCGGAAATTCTTCCCACTCAAGTTTATATAGGCACCGGTTTTTGTACCGGGATTATTACAGACACCCAGTTTTACAAATGTATAATTTATTTATTTCGTGTTTCTGTGGAAATTATACAGTAATTATGGCGTATGCGCGGACCTGTTATTATTTATCTATTTTCCAGTTAAATAATTATAATAATCATCAGGTAATTCAGTTTCAGATTTTCCGTTTATTTCGTTTTCGTTTATTTTCCGTTTATTTACTTTCTTGTTGATTTATTTGATTGCGCTTCCAAATTAATTTCCTAATATCTTGCATTTCTCGCCGCCTTAAAAAAATTAAATTGATTGAGCATTTAATTTCTCATGCGAACTTTTTCATCGATTTCTTTGGCTCTCCTCCAGAATAATTTTCTGTTCGTAGATAGTTTTGCCAGATTGAAATTATTAAAAATCATTTTTGGCGAATGCCTAACTTAACTGAAATTTTTTCTTTATTTTATGCACTTTTTTCCCGCATGGCTTTATTTTTTCTGTTTTTTTCTAGGCACGGTGGTGCCGGCGGACTATCGCTCCTTTAGCCACAGTGCGCTGTTCATCTCGCCGGCCACGACACCGACCTGCACGCCGCCGAGACGGAGGATGCGGATGCCCGTTACGTCTGTAAATTCCAGGCCGATTGCATTAAAATTGCCGTTAATTAAAAAAAAAATAATATTCTCAGTCGACTCATGATGAATTTGTGATGGATACAGTTTGCGCCGATGTTGTAACGGTTAATTTAAATTGATAATGTGGTTAATTTAAATTAATTAGTTCATTTTTAAGTTATTTGTTGTGACAGTTTATTTTTATTTACTAAGAATTGATTAATGGTGTAATTATGGAACAAGAATCTGTCCTTAGAACTATCGAGAAGTTCCAGGAAACTCGTTAAAAAATTAACATTATAAATAAAATACCGGTTCCTTGTTTTATTGCGTCAGTTATCAAGCTACAGCAATTAAAAGGCCGTCGCCAATTTTTTTCGGCGTCCTCGGGCGGACTGCAACTTGCAAGACATAATATGTCCTAAAATATTACGAGCTACAACAGAATATTGACATGATATTATAGCAAAATATAAATCGAATTAAATGGTATAGCATAAATTAAGTCATGACTGCGAGTTTAAAGACATTTACTGAATTAAGCCACCGTAAAGATTTAATGTAAAATAACAAAAAATGTTGAATAAATAATCGTAACAACTTATGAATAAACAAGATTGACAGAATAATGTCACCGCGAAAAATTCTTGCTGAAAATGGAAATTTAAGTATAGAATAAAAAATTACTCCCTGCCGAGTACTACTCGCAGTCGCCTGCATAGCCCGGCTGAGCCGTAAGACGTGCGAACATATATACAGCCGGGCTTATTAGCGCCACCATGCAGTAGCGGCTGATACTGTATATGCACCCCTGTAGTATTGCTGAAGTCTGTGAATGTGACTGGGTGGGACTGGGTGAGACTGGATGGGAGTGGGAGTTTATGTGACTGGGAGCATCTGTGACTGTGACCTCTTGTGACTGTGTTAGACTGGGCCTGGGAACGATTGGGACTGTGGCCTTCTGGGACTGGGAACAGTGTTCGCTACTTAACGCCAAATCGACAGAAAGCGCACTTCCGGTCAATTTAAACGCAAGTACAGTTTATTTGAAAACCGAGACATACATACACGTTGTGGCTAAACATGGTGCTTATATTATGTACCGCGCCTGATTTAGCCGCATGTACTGCCGTAACGTCACATTCCAGCCGGATGACGGCAGCACTGCCGTGAATTGGTTCGACTGGCATGGTTTTCCCCCTATATAAAATTTTTTATTGACAACAACATGCGTTGAAAATGTGACAATTCTGAAAACAACTTGCGTTTAAATTGACCGGAAGTGCGCTTTCTGTCGATTTGGCGTTAAGTAGCGAACACTGTTCCCAGTCCCAGATGGCCACAGTCCCAATCGTTCCCAGGCCCAGTCTAACACAGTCACAAGAGGTCACAGTCAAATATGCTCTCAGTCGCATAAACTCCCACCCAGTCACAGTCACCCAGTCACAGTCACAGTCACAGACTTTAGCAATACCCCCTTTGTACGCATGGCTCTGCAGCACGCACGAATTTGCTTCTTTAGAGTTCAGAGTAACGCCTGTTTATTACTTCCCTTGATACTAACCTATGTTGTAGTTTGAACTGTTTGGCCGTTAAAGAAAACGAAATCGGACATTCTGGCTCAGTGCATACAAAGATGCAGTGAAGCTTGGCAATAATAATTTATTTGTCAACAACCTGCCGTAAATCGTTTATTTAATTTTGTTATCTTGCTTTTTTTAGTTTTTTAAGAGCTCAGCTCTTATTGCGGCATTTTGACTGATTTCGAAGACGTTAGTTTTAGGACCTAGCTAAAGATTTTAAGATTTTAATATGGTACGGATCGCTATACGCAATTATTATTACGCATCGTGTGACATATTACTAGTACTAGTACTAGGCAGTCGAATTCTTGATATTTTTCTAAATAATTATCTGTTCGAATAAATTATTTTACATAAAACTTTTCATGTCGTTGAGCACAAGATCTTTGTACTGGCTGTCAACAAGCAAGCACCCAGTGCTGCGACACAAACCACGAAATTCATCAGCATTGGAATCCAGGTGTGAGGAGAGAAGCGGCTCACGTACAGCGACAAAATCTTTCAAATGATTTCAACGTATTGCGCCGTGGTGCAGTGGTACTGCCTACGCGGATCTAACGACGTAGCCGGGGTTCGATTCCTCCATCGGCGCCTTTTTCAGCCATTTCTCGGTTTCCCTCGGATTGCGCCCTGCTGATTCAGGCAAAAACCAAAATGAATCGCTGAAAGTCGCCATCCAATTTGACATTTAAAAATATTTAAAAATTCGCCTAAATAATTAGGAAACTACCGAAAAAATGTGCGATTGTATGAAATCGCGCAGCTGCATTTTCGTACAAAACATTCAGCAGCTGAATACACATTGTACTATGATAAGTGACTCGCAACTGATGCATGGCGCATGCACACTGCCACAGCGTCGAGTGCTTGCGTGATTTTAATAACTAGTCTTTAGTCTTTACTAACTGTACAACAAAAATTAGACTCGCTGCCTTACAAGTTTTCTAAAACTCAGCAGTTATCTGGGATTTCGGAAATATCGCTAATAAAATTGCCAGAATTTCTGAAAACTTTGAATGACTTATCAATTTGTATACCTACTGTTGCTAAGGCCATGAGCGCCAGCACAATTCCCTGCCGCTCATGCAGATTTACCAAAATTAAAATGCTACATTTAATTGTACACGTCATTAACTTTCCATCTGGGAACATTGCCAGTTTGGCACTTTGTTGGGCCACCGTAAGTCATAGTTACCTTATTGTTGTTTTCTAAAGTTATTTGCAGCTTCGTAGAAAGCCACGCGTACGCGCTGCAGTACACAGATAAGACTGGACGAAATATAAAGAATGTGAAAAACCAATACAGTACTTGCATTTAACATTTGTGATAGATGTAGCAGTACGTATGTATCAGTACCGTATCGGGAAATACGCATCTTTATTGTAACTCGACATATCGCAACTGAACATGAACCGCAGTAACTGCAGCCAGTACATCGCAGTTGCTAGGTAGGTAACATTGCAGAATCTCGAGAATTTCGTGTACGTACATGTCGTACGTACACTCGTACATGACAACATTGGGACGCAATAAGTATTCTTGCGTTATATTGTTTTTTGGTGTGCATTCTTCGATAGACCTTTGAAGACTGGACGTCAGTAATGAAGCACGTGAAAGGCTCTAAGCTCGGTAAGTCAACTGTAGGGACGGCAGGCGAACTAAAACGGCGAACTGTGCCTGCCGCGACAGTGCAGCGGCACGCACAGCGTAATCTGACGTCTGTTTTACTTGAAGACGCAAACGCGCTAACGCGCAACCTGTACGTGTCAGCAATAATCGGGATGTTGACCGATTATGGTTATGGTCAGGCCTGCCAAGTGCACCACCCAGGATGCGGATACCAGAGCTGTCAGCCGGCGTTTTTGCAATGTGAGTTGGCTCGCAAAAGTATGGCAATATAAATCGGATTTACAGTGAACTTATGTACACGGATTAACAACAAATCGAGCTAGGTCACGAGACACTCAAGTCGGTCTTGCTCTTATCGGAATGCCCGCGACGTTTGCACTGACCATGATGAATTATAGAAATGCAAAAGATACTTTGTAGATAGCATAATGCGAAAGCGCTTCTCTGTGCGGTTTCAGTGCTAACGATTTGTGCGGGCCAATTCGGCTGCGAAAACGTCCTAAAACAGTGAACAAATATTTTTGGGAGCGCGCGGAAGCGAAAGGTCTTGGTCCTGTGTACCGGCACACACACACATCCCTTAATTTGGCTCAAATCTGACCAACTGTAAGTAGAAGGTAAGCTGATTACACACCGGTTGCCTTTAGTGGACGCGGTGCTGAGCCAGGCGGCTCGGCAGCCGATCGACGGACGAATTCATCTGCCCATCCCCGCCGCGCTGCGATCCGCCGTCACACTGGAAAGCTGGCCGGTGGTGCGCGTCAATTCCGGCGGCACGGCCACTTTCCACTGCACACCGCTACAGATAACTCCCGGACCGCGCCCTAACGACCGGGCGGCCGTCTTCTGGCACCATGACAACGAATTGCTGGCCTACAGCGGCCGCAATGAGAATTACGTGGCATCCGCCGACATCCGTCACACGGTGGACTGGGCGGCCGCCTCCGCCACGCTGACCATGCGCAACGTCACCTGGGCGTCCCGCGGTGAGGTGGCCTGCCAGCAGGAATGCCCGCCTCCGACGCGGGAAACGCATCCGTACTGTCCGCTGCAGACCTTCCGCTTGCACGTGATGCCCACCGCTCGCGAGCTCTTCCCGACGCCGCTGCCCAACGTCACCGTCGTCCGCTCCGGGGAGGCGCGCTTCCAGTGCGCCACCACGCTGACTTTGCCTACCGACTACTTCCACGCTATGATGGGCTTCATCTGGCGCTTCAACACGCAGTGGCTGGAGGCGCCCGCATTGCACGCGCTGCATCCGTTCGTGGGCCCGATGACCACGCCTCCGCCGCGACGCCCCTCCCCCAAGCATGTCCCACCGGCGCTGCGAGACACCATGTCCGGGGAGACATTGGCGGCGTACCGTATGTTGTACAATGAGAGCGAGTACTACACCAGCACGCTGGTCATTCCCGACGTGCAGCTGCAGGCGTCGGCGCGGGTGGAGTGCTGGGTGCAGCCGGATTATCAGCGGGAAGTCTGGCTGATGCAGACGGCGTATCTCCACGTTATACCGGCGCCTGATGCCTAGCTTTGAAGGCTGGTAATTAGCCGGCACTCTTGGTTTTTGTCTAAATTACTCGCACATATTTGTTTATTTCCAGTATCTTGTTGTTTTAGATTTGTTGTAGTGATGTTTGGTTTTCTGTTTTTACTAATTATTCTGATTTGCTACGTGTACTAAATCCAACTGTCCACAAATATCAGCTATGGATCTAGTCACCAGAGCTTGTTATAATGCTGCCATGGACGCAGCAGTCATGTCAGGAGGGAATTTCTGTTCTGTGACTTAAAATTGGGAAGCATTATGATCTTTTAAAATGTGGTTTGAAGATACGATGATTTTTTGTGGACTGTAATTTGTCGAAACAGACGGTGAAAATACTTGGATATAACATTTTTTTCAAAATAAAATTTTCTGTAAAGTTAGTTCCCGGGTGTTCATCGCACCCTAATCGTGAAGGGTATGTTCACAGCACCCAAATGTCCTCGTATTTATTAAATTTAAGACCACCTCAATCCCGTAAACAATCAGCCAAAACTATAATTCTGCGAGCATTCAGCTGCCTCATTTTTCGGTGCTCGGAAAAGCCATCACTTATAAAATTTTCACTGACAAATCAGTATTTCAAGTGTTCTTGCCAGGAATTCAGTGCAGCCGGCTCGTGTCAGGATAAAGCACTTGAAACGAAATGTGCACCGATGACAGGACGCTTCCATGTTTTACCATTGTCGAACGTCCCCATTTTCTGTCACTACAAATTCGCTTGGTCAGTTTCTGAAAATCCACTACTTGACAATCGTGGAACCGACTATTTTAAATCCGCATAGCAAGCAAAACCGAAGAGAAAAATCTGTACGAGCAGGCACGCACCGTGTCAGAACCGAAACCGTTCGTCGTATGGTGTGAAGTGGACGAGCCGACATCTATCGCTTTCATCACATTTTTGTACCGCGTTAACACGCGAATTCGGCTTACCAGACCAGTCGAGTGTCTCCACTTCGCCGTACCAGCGACAGACATTTGGCTGCGTCTCACTATAAAAACGGCTGTCACACCGCTACAATTATATCTGCATGTAATTTGACTGTTTACGAGTTACTTCAACACTCAGTACTCACTACAGCTGTGCACTAACCTTTGTCTCCCCGTTCGACGCTAAATCATCATGATTAACACACCGCCCCCTATGTTAATTTGTCGACTGCTGATACTGGCTAACCAAACCGATCCGCTAATGCAGGTGAGTTTCATTCTACGAAAACTGTAATTGATGCCGTTATTAATTGTAGCATCTTGAATTTGTTGTAGTGTGCACCGGACCCTATACCGAACGACAGCAGTCAGATTCCTCGCTTTGCCTCCCAGGCGCACGAAAGCTGGCTGCATATTGGCGAGGCAGTCAACCTCACCGCCGACCGGATTAAGGAGGAACAGGCCGCTGCCGCCTTCGCCGCCGCGCACACCACCACGCCGGCACCCTGCGATTCGGAGGCGGGAACCGCGAACGAGTACATCATTCTCTGCCCTGCTGCGCGCCGGCGGCTCCAAACCTACCAGTAGTGAGAAGTTGGAAAAGCTGCCCAAGTAGATGATATTGTGGGTTTTTCATAAAAACGCGAATTTGTGGTTGTGATTCTAATAAAGTTATCGGCCTTTACGCAGAGCCAGCTCAAGTTAACGTACAGTACTTTATCCGTAATGGCGACAACCTGTGCTGGTTTATTTACGCTGGTTCAGCCGGCATCAGTCGTGCTCGTAAAGTCG